TGTATTTGGCAAAAGCTGAGTCATCTAGCTAGCAGCATTTAATTAATTCTGATGTAATGTTGACTGCAGTTAAAATTGCTAGAGAGCAGCCCACTGTCTACCACATAGTGTTGGTTCTTTTAGTCTTTTTTTCTTGTAAAAGGGTTGATAGTCATAGACTGTCTACTTCCTGGGTTGCAAACTGATGAAATATTTATTCTCTGTGTATCAAGGGCAAGAGTTTGCAGAAAAAGCAGTTATACAAAAGGCAACAACCCAATACTTATCAAGAATGTTTTTAGAACAAATAGTATGTCACTAGAATTTGTTAACTAAAACTTCCGAAAAGAACATTGAAAAGGCACATGTTGTTTGAAAGGGGTGAAATTCACACAAACAGAAAACTGTAATTTGTCCTAAGAAAAGACTAGATTACAGGCAAAATGTCCAGTCACTGCTTTGGTCTTTTAGAGGGACTGATGAATTTCATCCCCATTAAAGTCAGTTTTACCCACGACACTTAAAACTGATCATAAACAATTCAGGGGAGGAACAGGAGCAGTGATATGCAAAATTCTGGTCTGTAGATTATGAGCACACTCTCCTGAACTTAACTAGTCCTTATTACTGTATGCAGTCTCCTTGAAGTCCATTAGGACTACTCCTACATGAAAAGTTTGGAACATCATACCCACAAGCAACAAAGGGGAAAAAAAAAAAAAAAAAGTCCTATTTTAAAATATTGCAGAGAAGAGTGTCTGAGAACAGCCAGACTGTAACATTACACCGGATGTTGGGATTGGTTCTCAAGTAGTAAGGTTTGTTCATAAATGTGTCTTCAATGCCTGAGTTGGAAAGATCTGCAGCTGCAGATGGTTCATCATCCACAAAATGGGGACAGTACAGACTGCACATTTCAAGCAGTTCTGACTTAGAGTCACAGGACGGAGTCCAAAAAACCTAGATATTCATAGTTAAAGACCAAGTTCTGAACTTTTAAATCGACACAAGTCGCCTTTACATGTTAATGTCAATTGTACTATTTGCAACCACAGGAATTTCCTTGAACAGAGAGGCCTGCAGGAAAACTGTTGAACAGTCCAACCTCCCTATGCTGCTGAGGAGGCTGCTCTCAGGGAAGCAGGGTATTCAGCTGGGAAGAAGCACTCTGATGTCTTAGATGTTATGCACCTTCCAACAGTGTGTGCTCAAAGGTGGTGGAAACCTCTCAACAGACACAGGTAGTTGGTCTGTGGTATTTGAAAGGACTATATAGAAACTTAAATGTTGCACATCATGAGATGCATGGATGGATTTCTCGAGGTGAAGGGAAAGATTAAGTAGTCATCACTAATGCCAGAGAGAAATGTAGGAGGGATGTTCTGGAGAAGGCCAGGCAGATGAAACCAGGACCTCCATGGTGGTGGTCTATGAAGCACTGACAGTTCCAAGAAGGCCTGAGAGACAGGCAGGGATCTGGAACTGGTGCACTGGTGAGATGATATAGGGAAGAGAAACTCAGGTACACTAGAAGCTGGTGAACCTTTTTGGACAAAAGGAACCTATGCAAGGATAGGCTGCACCAAAATAATAGCAGAGCGAGGCTGCCGGCACTGAAGATGGAAGAGGTTACAGAGAAGTGTTTAACCCCAAACCAAAGGAGAGCTGACAGGTGTGGAGGAGATCTGGTTTAGATTGAGGCAGTCTACCAGGTGAATGTGGCAAATGCTTGATGCACCTCTGCAAATACCAGAAGGGAAACAAGCAGCAGTAAGAAAGGGAATTTACCAGCTGACTGGCACATGAAACACTGAGCAGCTGAGAGGAGAACTTGCAACTGCTTTAGAAGCCTAAAAAATATGATGGAACAAAACACCTGGAATCCAGAGATAGCCCCCAAATTACCAGCATCTCAGAGACCAGAAAATGGACAGGCTTGTATGCAGTCTGTAAACAACCTCTCTTATTGCCATCATTGGATACAGAATATCAAGTTAGATGACAGTCATTCACCTGGTCAAATAGGACATTTCTTCTGTTCTTATGTTCAGTGACATGACACAAAGATACCGGGGTGCACTCAGGCACCAAAATACGTAGCATCTGCAGACTCAGGGTGACTGTGGGAACGGTGTGTCACTGTGTGTAAAAACACTATTCAGGCTGAAATCTTACCTTAAAACTTTGCCTATCTTTATCTGCCAATGTTACTTTACGACATTTGTTTTATTTCAGCTTTTCCCTCTTTTTTGTAAAGCCGTAGTGATAAAACAAATTTTTAAAAACTCATGCATGCTGCAAGAACTGAAACAAAATACATATTAAAGTAAACACTTTTCAGGGTTAGCATGGTAAGCATACTGAAAATTATAAATAAAAAAAAGCTTACGTTCATAGCAGTAGGCATCAAACTTGCTATCTGGGTAAGGAAAGCCTGTTTGGTTCTCATAGCGATACAGGGTTCTCACCCCAAGTAAACCTCCACCACACTGGGGCCTTGCCACTGAGGCTGGGTAACGAACGCTGCCATCCGCCAGCCAGCCATAGTCACACTGGTCAAAGCCATTCCTCCAGGCGACATAGAGGTTCCCAACAGAAGCAAGAACGCCATCTCTTTTCCGACACAGCTCCTTAGCTTCCTCAAAGGTGAGCTTCTCAGGGACTGAGACATGAACCACTTCATCTAGAGGAAGAAAACAAAGATCACAAAGACTGAGTATCACATACCACCATCAAGCTTAGTTGCCCTCTTTCAGTCAGTGTCCTGCATGGTTGGGTTTTTTCCCAAGATTTGTTTGAATAGTTTTTTTGCTTTAAAAAAATCAGATAGTTGGAAAATCATATGTCCCAGATTTGAATATGAACATGAACCTACCACAAAGCATAAGCAATCATACGCAAACTTTATGCCACGAAGTACACTGTGGTTGGAGATTGAGTCCCTCCCTCAATCTCTAGGCAGAGTTAACAGCATCCTTGACGTTCCTCTGTGACCTCTGTTTGAGTAGGTTTTGCAGCTCAACTGCACTAATTAAATCCAGTCCAACAGAATTTACTTTCTCAGTAAAACAAATCTTTTACATCTGCAAGCCTCTTTTACATCTGCAAACCTGACCTTTTTAGTCATCACTAGAATCTCACTTGAGATAGATACACAAAAAACCCAAATGTTCTTCACTGGCTGCTCTACAGCAGCTTCTAATGTCATGTTTCCATCAGTCTTCATCTTGCCCATGGGGAAACAAAGGTGAGGGAATGCACTAGACATGTTGCGTGCACAAAGCCCTTTTTGTATGAAAAAGCTGAATGAGTCTAGAATGCTTCCATGGAATAACAACTTGGTAATAATAGACATTCATTTGGAAACTGAAACAAAACAAATAGCACATCTAATATTTTACTTCCAAGCTAAATCACCATGATGCAGTTGGCTTGGTTGCCTCATTCACCCAAACACTATAAACAAAATCAAGGCTCTAATGTTCATGTCCTGGGATGAAACAATAAACTGACTCCTTTCTAGTTTTTGCTCAGACTTCAGATGGAACTGATGAGACCTTAAATTAACACATTCAGCTGTAGTAAAAAGTGCAAATTCAAAATACTTGTTACAAGACAGTAATTCTCTTCCTCAACTACAGCAGTCACTGTTGCAGGAAAGCAATCTTATTCATATTGGACATGCAATCTATCTTACCTCTGCAGATGTCTCAAGGCAACCTAGTAAAAGACAGACAGAAACTACATCACCCCAACCAGTTTCATTCACATCAATATTTTGCTTGTTTCAGGCTTGAAAGGAATGCAAGTGTGAAAGGAGGCAATGTGTCAATTTTATTTTTCCTCCTAGGTGGAAACTCTGATTTGTTATTGCAGCTGTAACATCAATTCCATCATGTAAGTTTCTTTATACATGTTGTAGGGAGTTTCTAACTTAGAGGTAAAGGGCGTGTCTATTGGAGGACAGGTAAGGAAAGCAAAGAATCATTCATCTTCATTCAGCTCTTCAGACCACACGGATAATACACTTTTTTATTAAACACTTCTGCAGAAGACAGCTTTTTCTGCATCAAGGGGCAGATCTGGTGTCATGGCCAATACAGAATGATGGATGCAGTTATCCCACCATGCTGTCCCAACAGCAGTATCATGAAAAAATGGAGCAAAGAAATTTTGCAGAGCAGCCCCCTTTGTTCTGAGGACTATTCACTTATCCTCTCCCACAGTAACCATGATGTATACAAGAGTTAGTAGCTAAAATGATTGCAATTAAATAGCAGATATTGGTCTGGTTAGACAAGAAAATGAGACAAGTAAGAAAAACTGCATTTTAATGGTTTCTAGAAACAAATATGATGGATCAAAAACTAAATAATGTCAAACAACCTCACAACATTCCTTCTGGGAAAAACTTATTGAATACACAGGAAAATGAATAAACAGTGCAAGATTAATAGCAAAGCAATTTTCCAATCAACTGGATCACTGCCTCCAAATGTAGCTTGTGCATAACATCATTAAAGTTAGGGGTATTTATTCCTCTGAGCTGTCGTCTGCACTCTCTTAAAGCAAAGAAACTTAGTGAACACTTATGTCTTACTATAAGACATCAAAATGCAAGGTTTAATAATCAGTACTTTTGTAAAAGAGGTCACTTTGCAAAGAACTTACTTATCCAAATTGCACAAGAGCATTTCTATATGGAAATCTGCCTTAAATTTGTCTTGGAGTATGCCCATATATGTAGTATTGATAATACTGAACATGTAAAAGATGGATGGCATATCTTTCTTTCTATTGAATCTATTCTACTGACCCTACATCTAGTTATTTGGCTCATGTCTTAAAGTCAGCTGCTGTCATACAGATAGCGTCTTTGTCAAAGGGTGTTTTACCAGAAAAAATAAATGATAAAAAACCCCATACATTTAAGGAAAAATGCATCCTAATCAGATCAGCCCAATAAGTGAAGTCCAAAGTCACATTCTTTGCCATCTATTTGGTATATTAAAAAATTTGTGATGATAAATTCACAAAGAAGGCAAAAAGGTGCCAGAGCAAACCACAAAATGCCCTTATTGTTATTGCATCATATAACATGTAAATATTTACTTCAGGAATGCTAGTGATAAGATACAGGGTACAAAGATGCTAAAACATGGCAGCTTGCAATTGTTCTACTTAAAATGTGTTTTTCTGTGATTCCAGAATTCCTATTCTACAAAAATCCAGTAAAATGCAAAAGTTAGATTCCAAATAGCAGTCATTTACTCTATGAGATATGACTCTACAATTTGACTGTCCAGTTTCAAAATAAATTAAAATTCTGTACGATTGACTGTGCACTTAATGTGCATGATAATTGGTGGTATTAAAATGGAAAAACATATCAAGAGTTTAAAAAAAGTCTTGCTTGCTATATAAATTCAGAAACACTTAAAAGTTGTCCTGCAATCTTCCAAAATCACCTTACCAAAAAAAAAAAAGAGAAAGAGAGAAAGGTTTATGTTTTCTGTTGAGCAGTTGGGAAGAAAACAGTGTTTAAAACACTTCTTCAGCTGAATGGCATCAGTTTGATTTACAGCAGCTCTGAGTTACGTGATGAGAAAGTTTGCACGATCTTTCCTGCACTTCTCAGCTGGAAAGGACTGTGGGCATGTGTCTTTCCTGAAGAGCAGACTTCGCACTTCAGGGATAGGGTGACCCATACAGCACAGAGGCAACTAATCAGGACCTACGTTTGTCTGCAGTAAGGGCAATCACTTGGAATGCGCAGGGATGACATGTTGCTATCCATGTTGCCTCTCTGACATGGTTAGTGCTGAGACGCTTGCTCACCACCAGTCTCCTTGGTCAGAAAGAGATGGCCACCAAACTATTGATATTTTGGGTGCATGTTCTGGAATTTCTACTTGATAATCCCTCACTTCTTTATCCTCACAGCAATGTGGAAATTCAGTTTATCATATGTTAAAAGAGCTCTGGTCCAATTTCACTGTCAGTGTGGCTTTTTCTCTCATAGTGAAAACTTGAGTTGGAAAACACATTGTTCCCCAGTCAGTCTACACAAAAGCTGAGCAATAGAGCAGGAAACGGGGAAGGCGGCATGTGCAGAAAGGTGCTGATAGCTGAAGAAAAAACAGGAGAAGCTCTAGAAACTTGCTCTGGCGCTGCCTAGCACGCCAGGAAGAACTGTACAATGGAGTTCAGGTTCTGCTGAGCTCTTTCATGGACTCAACCTCAAAACTGACAGAGGCTTTCAAGAGGCCATGGAAACAGGACTTGTGCTCCAGTCCTGACTTTCAGCATATCAGTCAATGTAGCTGACTCCTGACTCCTTCAAAGTATCAAAGAGAAAAGGATTTGACCCTTGCACAGAAACTTCCTCTAAAAAGAAAAAAAATTAATGGTGAAGCTAATAAAATGTAAGTAATCCATGCAGCCTCTAAAATTAACTACTATTTTTGGAAGCACAACAGGTTCCATATTAAGCAGAAGGATTCATCGTGCTACACTCTTACAGCGCCTTTATTATGATATCTGAAAGCGCCTCAATTTTGTAGCCAAAACACTGGAAACAAGGAAATTAAGAGAGAAAACTTGTCTCATCAATAAACAAATGACATAGCCACCAACACCAAAGCAGGGCAGACTCAGAGAGAGAGAGAGAGAGAGTGTGTGCGTGTGTGCGGAGTACACTCTGAACAACTTTGCAATATTATGCAGGCAAACCCCAGGGCTTAGAGCAACAGATGAAAAGGAACTAGTTCTACAGTACCAGGGGGTGAAATGGAGACCGTGACAATGTTTAGACTGCAGACAATAATGTAGTATATATTATTGCTGGCTCCTGTTTAAAACCAAGCTTCAGGCTGATCGTCCAGCCTCAGCGGTCAGAGCACTTGAAGAATCCCCAGGATTTTCCTGTTACATGTGTTTGTTTTGCTTGGTTAAAACAGACACCTGATGAAAGTCATACTTTTTCCCTCTCTTTCAAATATATCAAACCAGATGAAGCCAGGTTTTGCTCTTGAAGACAAAAGCTGATTCACCACAACCCCCAAGGACAAAGCTTAAGATCTACAGACTTATCAGCTGGTTTTATAGCAAGCTTCATTCCTTTGAAGGTTAATTCACTTATTCTCTCTCATCACAAGACATCTCACTGCACCGGGCATGTTTGTAGATGTGAATTTCATGAATCACACATCTTAAAAGCAAGCACAGAAATAAGGGCACGCTAGAACCATAGCCGGGGGTCAATACACAACATGTATTGACTAGGGTAGAAGTTAACGAATCTAGATGTAAGCCCTCCAGCACAGACCTCACCAGTAATTTTTTTTTTTTTTTCATGGATGAAACCACAATGAAGGGATTGGTGGGTTGCCACTTCCTAGAAGAGATCTTTGAGCCTGACTATGTGGCACTCCCCTCCAGAGCAGAGCATCACCTCCTCAACTTCACACACTATCACCCACCATGCCAGACACAGCAAAATGAGCTACAAGTCACTTGCACCTGGCATGCGAAGGGACCATATGCAAGTTAAAGGCAAAAGTTTTACAGATGTCTGAAGGATTCTTCCAAACTGCAGAGAAGCTGAAGAGGTAATCTGTGAGTCTCCTGCTGAAAGCTTTTGACACATCTGGTAACATACCAACTGCCATGGGTGGTGGCTGG